CATCAGACACATATTTTAAAAACAGGCAACTTTTAAAATGTATTCTTTCCACATTATATAGATGGCACAGTGAGTGACATAGCCTATTCCAGTCATGTAGATGCCCCTAATAACTCATTCATGAGTTTGCAACACATGAGTTATTAGGTCTTTGTCCCTCTTTTTATAAATGATGTGTCCCATATTTTCCTATTGAGTGCTTCGCTCTCCCATGATATATTAAAAAAAAGCTATGAACTAGCTGAATTTTTAACTTCTGCTAATAGATTTTGAGCCTCAATATTTCTGCAAATACAGATTTCAACCAGCTATAATTACAAGTTGTTTTCTTCGTGGTCATTAGTGATAATAGGGAGTTAGTTCATGAGGAGTTGATATTGTCAATTATGGAGGGGTGGGCCAGCTTCCTTTGCACTTTGTTGAATGAATATCTTCTCTACCATGAAAGCTGACATTGTATTGGGAGTCATGCATTATTACCTAAAATACCAAACCTTTTGTTACCCGTTTATACAGCAATTGAAATATAGTGTCTATTTTAAGAGTTTATCTTGCTATATGCTGGAATCCATAGATGTCTTTCAATATTAAAGTTCCCAGTCAGGCCAAACTGCTGCTAATAATAATTATAATCCTTGCATTTGAAATAGACCCTCGACACATCATTGAGATGTCTCAAAGCGCTTCACAGAATAAACTGTAAAGTGAATTGACTGGGTATTTTGTGGACGAAATGCGACAGCTAATTGCACATAGCAGTGTCCCACAAACAGTCATGGATTGAGTAATCAAATTATTAAAACATATATAAAGGGATTATTATAAATAATATAAAGGGAATATAAGATATATATAAAGGGAAACTGTTGTCCCCAAGTGAGCAAGAATTCCATGAACCAATCTCCTTCAAATTCTGCATTTGCTTCAGACACAGGCGTACCCATAGAAAAATCTTTTCAATGTCTCACAATGCAAAAGGGGATTCATGCAGTGACTAATATTTGCATTTTTTGGACTCGACACAGCATGATCACAAGAGAGGTTCAGATGAAGAAGTCCACTTGATCTTGTCCTCAATAAATTTTAATAAAATATTTTGGCCTACAGAACAGTGCAAAGTAAATTGTGTATTCAAAGGATTAAAATCACTAGTCTCTTAGCAATGGTTTGCATTTATTTTATTCCAATTCCATTGGTTTCAGAAGAGATATCACAGATTGGAAGTATTAGTAGGAGTACATCTTGACAAAGAGTTGTTAGCCCTAAGTTTAGTACAAAATGAGTAAAGCCAGAGTTATGTAAGGGTAGGGTACACTTTTGTACAAAGAGCCAATTTGTTCCTAGTTTATTCCACAAATTCCATTATCCTAAAATGTGTTGGTCTGTACTTCAGCATTAACTATCAGCGTAAGACTCCATAAGCACCTGTATGAATGACATTCAATACTTTCAGTTAGGTTGCCTGAATATCATGTGAATATCACTGTCTCTTCCTGCCCTACACATTCTGATTTTAAGAGAGAGTACAGTGCTTTCCAACACTCATTTCCAACACTCATTTCCCACCCTCCGGTACTGCTGCAGATCGAGTTTTTTTCCCCCCCACGACCTTTGAGTTCCCACTACGTACTGTACAGTCCCACAACTTTGACACAAAGACAATATTTCAGGGGAATACATTTACAAACGTGATACAATCGTGATGTTTCCACCCATTTATCTGAATGACCTAATTCGGTTACATAATTAAAAGCTTATTCTTATTCCTAATATTCGTTAATTTGTAATTCTGTTAAAATACATCTTTCTGTCACTTTTCTATTTGGTAGTTTTGTTGCTATTTGAATTAAAAAAGTGAAGTTCAGGGAGACTGCTGTATAAGGACCATAGGATTTAATGAATGACCTATTGATGGTAATGGGACTGGTTGGGTTGCAATTGTATAATCCCTGTGCTGAGTGCTGTGTAATTCCCTGGAGTGAGTAAACTACGCTTACTTGGGCTGAATCTCTGGTAGAAACAATATAAATAATGCTCTTGAGTGGGAGTCAGGCTCTTGAGAAAATTCGTTAAATGTGATGGTTTGTAATGTTGAACGACTTGTGATTCCCATGTGTGACGATCTTTATTTCAAGCTGTTGTGGTAAGGGTATGATGGTTGACATTTTGAGAAATCGGAAAGTCTGCTCCGCTGTCATGAATTTCATCAGAAGGTAACTGGAAGTTGAGTGCTTGGGGTCATATCGATGCTAAAGAAATATGATGCCGTTTACAAGGCTCTAAGATGAAAGATGAACTACTGTGTAGTTTGAGCTGGCCACTCTTTTATTCAAACTCTTCATCTATATGAATACTTATGTGTCTGTATCAACTTCCTCATTGGATTTAAACCTTTTGCAGAATCACCTAAAAGTTGCCTCGTTTACAGTGTGCAAAATTCCAATTTCCACAGCTTCAAGATCCTTGGGGCTGCTATGAGCACTGAGGCCATGAGTATTGGCAGGCTATTTGATCATGGGAGGACATAACAGTGTTGGCTTCTTGTTCTCCACTGAGTGAAACCAAGCTCACATGTAGAGCCCTGTGAAGCAGTGCCAGCTACCTTCTTATGGTTTCGGGTGCAAAGCTGAATTGATGGTCCCAAACTGATTTTAAGAAAATGCAGTTTCCATCTTATAAACTGATATTTCTAGTATAAAAGGGCCATAACATTTATGGACAACAAACAAGGAAATTAATCCTAATGAACTCAGTAGCATAACGTCTGCATCTTGCAGATTGGACCCTTTTAATTAGTTAAAATTAATTCCCTTTGTGTATTTGTACACTTTTGTTGATAACTGTGGTTCATGAGCATTAAAAGCAGAACACAATTGACATTTTAGTGCTCCTTAAAAATATATGACTTTGTAAACACCAAGAGCTGGGAATTTGTTGCAATTAAAATTGTGGTGTTCAAAGTAACTGCTAAATAACTATATTTGGGTCATAAAAGCCTCGTCAAGAGTCCCATTGCCTTGCATCTCTGCAGCAGTCAGTCTCAGGTCAGGGGCTTTAAAACACTTATCTGCTGAAAGATCTAGGTCTACTTCCCTACTCTCAATGCGATAGCAGGAGGGCAATGTGTCATGTGGTTGCTTCTATTTCTTTCAACAGGAGTTGGCAATTTTGATGAATAAATTATGCCTTTGCATAAATATTCTGGAATTATATTTCTTTACTCAAGCATCAGGAAGCAGTTTTACAGAACTTCTCCTGAGCAGATAAAATAGTTGAAGAGTTCATCGTAGTGTGTAGATTGTCTATCGTTTGTTGTTAGGAGATTCATACCTCCCAAAATAAATTCCTTCAGAATTTCTAAGTAAATTCTTCTCAATGTCACAATTTTGTTCACAATAGCCTCCAGCTAATGTGTGTTTTTGAGGATTTGTGGTGCTAAAGAAACAGTCCAGTGATTTTTAAGCCTGAAAATTAACGTTTTAGTGGGTAAGATTTTATCAATCCATGAATATAGGGTTTGACTATTCCAATGTCCTCATGACCTGGGGGCCCAGTAGTTATAAAATATTTATTATTCTAATAATGATGGCTGAGGTCCTGAGGACTGCGTGTGGTGCAAATCTTTTGTTGATTCCAGGAATGATCTGTGTCTGACCTTGTCTGGCTGGTTAGTGCATTTGTTTAGTAATGGAGAGGTTCACTTTGGGGAGAGGAACAATTGACATTGGCCATTGCAAGGATTTCATCCCTCTGATGAAGCGTAAAGCAACATCAGTATTTGTGGCGATGCCTGTAGTCTCCTGTCCTTTCAAGCTGAAAGAGGTATCATGGAGATAAAGACATTGCATGGGATTAAAGGCTGGAAGAGTGAAAGTGAAAAGAAGGAAACTTGTAAGCAAAATAGAAATGCATCTAATTTCTGTTGCCTTATTTAAAGAGTATTACGAACAATTCCAATTCTATAACGTTACCGTATGTACGATTTTATTTCATCCTTTCCCAATTAGCATATGGTGTTGATAGAAAATTATATTTGAATTGCATGGAAAATAAGATCATTGAAAAAGTAAATATTTAGGCCTGGATTTCACTCTGGATGGGTGGTTGGAGATTACAGTGGGTGTTGCGTCCTTTTCCGCAATTATTCTGATTTTTTTTAACTAGCAGCTGTTAACAAGATATAATATAGAAATATCTGCACCTAGAGATGGGCTGGTGTGATTTGCAGCTATTGCAGATACAAGACAAGCCTTCCTTTTACTATCTTTTAATGGGGCAATTGACAGATGGGGAAATAGTGAGAATAGTTACTTATTGATCTTCGGGTGATTATTTGAATACTCTGCTGGAGCCCTGTCTTACTGAGAGCAGGACTTCAGTAAAGTAAGTGTTTTACTTGCTGGCAACCATTGCAGCTAGGTAAAATGTAGGCATTTGGCATTGAGTGAAATCTAGGCCTCAGAAATCGTATTTTATTTTAACAACATCATTTATACTTGTGTTAAAAGCTGAATGAATATGTGGTCTGAGTGGAGCCACCACAGAGGCATAAATACTGCTTTCCAGGTCAGGAGAGTGGTGGTTTTACCCCCCTCCTGCTGAAATGTATCCAATACTCATGCATTTCAATGTCTACAATGCTACCAGTTCAGATCCGGCTATTTTCCTGTAAATGCAAAGGCAAACAGACTCGACGAATTCTTGTTTTCTCAAAGCTCCTCAATGAAGAACTTGGGCCTTTTCTAAATGCTGGCTGGTCATCCCAGACTACGAATGGCATGATGCTCATTCTTTGGAACTCTTTAATCTTCAATAGAAGTTTTACTGTATATAGATTGAAGTTAGAATTTTAATGAGCTGAGTCGCTCACCAGTTAATTAACTATAAATGTTTAAAGATTCTATTTAAATTTGGAAAGATTGGAAGGGGGGACTTTAACCTTCTTTAGGTCTTGTAAATAAGTTCTAACTGTAGTTCATTTTGTTATATGGTAACCACAGTTCTGGATGACGCTGCCCCTGGCACACAAGAGTACTATGTGTTACATCGAGATTCTATCCAATCTGCGGATGTTAAGAAAAAAGAGTCCCCATTTCGTGCTAAGTGTCACGAAATCTTCTGCTGCCCTCTGAAGCAAGTGAACCACAAAGAAAACACAGAGCCGGAAGGTTTGTGTGCTAAAGATCCATGTCTTGTTCGTTCTTGTACGTATCCCCATGGTGTGCTGTGTTTTCGGCCTGTGTAAATAGTGCAGACTGCGCGTGGAGCACTACAAGCTTTTGTCCCTTGCTTGCCTGTAATGTCTTACATTTTGGAACTCTCCTGGGACAATGCTTTATGAGACCGCATGTACAAACTCGTTGCAGACCGGCTGCTTTTCAACAAATTTATTGATGGGGAAAAAAAATAAAACCATTTTTTTGTCAACTCACTTCATTACACTGCCTTACCTGGCTGTTTGAAAATTGCTTGCTATTATAAACCCTTCCAATTGATCCCTTAAAATTGTCTTGATTCACTTAGCTAAGAGAATGGCACTATAACATAGTTCTTCTATTAAGGCTCTCTTTATAAATGCTTCTGCACATTTGCGCTGACAGACTCATGCTATTTGCACTTCATTGGCACAGAAAGAAAAAAAAATCTGGAAAATGTATGCAATGCACGTAAAGTTGCAATTTGAAGGAGCATAATGCATGCAGATATGTGTGATCAAATGCTTATAAACTGTAGCGATGTGTTAAGTTAATACAGTTTTCTTTACAGTCAAAAGCAGAATTGTACAGTCACATAACACATTATTGGAGAGCAAGTGAATAGTTAGTTGATAAACATACAGGCTTTTAGATTCTACACCTTCCATGGACATTTTTCTTGTTCCTGTTTTTTTTTCAAAAATCACCGTCCATGGTGGAATTACCTAGGGCTAGACTAAAAATAAATCAGTCAGAACATTGCATCCAACAAAGTTGAGAGACCTAACCTACAAAGATACCAAAGACACCACAGTCACACAAGTTATTTATAAAACTATGCCCAAGGCTACTGTTCTACAAGTTACCTTTCATCTGCGCCATCTGTAATTTATTAGTTTTTTCAATAAACAGTATTTCTGTTGCAATTCATCTCACTCTTCAGACAGGCATCTCAAGCAATAGAAATAGAATACAGGTATACAGTTAGAGAAAAAACAGTGAGAAAGGTTAGTGACAAAAAGGTCAGAGAAATAACTGTCACAGTGATAGAACCTGAAATTCAATTCACAGTGAATAGTAAGATAAAAAATGTTTTACACACCCATAGTTTTAATTGCCCAAAACAGACAGAAGCACATCCTTATCCTGCATGGACCAATTGGGCCAAATGGCCTCTTTCCGTGCTGTGCAATCTTATGTAAATTGGGAAATATTGACCCAGATATGAAGAAAGACATTTAAACATTGTGTTTTTGTTCTTGAAAAGAGGTAAGTCATCATTATTCAATTGAAAGAAAGATAATGAACATTTTGCAGCAATTTGATGCAGTAGGCAATTATTTCTTCCTCATAATTATTTTAACTTATGATATTCACGATGATAATGTATAAAACTGCAAAATAGGCCACTTATTGTCCCCTTCAGTGTGACAGCATTATTCCGCAACAAAGGCAATAGCCTCTCGAGTCTTCAATCAATGCCATTTCAGTCCTAATCTAATTTAGTCTCAGATGACGCGCATACACCATTCGAGCTTCACCCTGCCAGTTCATGAGGTCATCTCAACCTCCCCCAGAGAAAATTATCACACTTGCTATTCACACTCTCTGCTATTCTATAAATGGAGTATTCTGGTCATTCTGGCAGCATGAAAATTGATAATCTTCTCTTAATGCAGTAGATGTGACAATTCATTCTTTTATAGTAGTTGCCAAATACTACAGTCAAATAGCTTCCTCCTCGGTCAATGAGTTAAGAAGAATCCTTTTTAACTGATAGTGCGGTAGGTCATCCCTGAAACAATCTAGAGTCAATAATATAATACTCAATAGAGAAGATTTCACAGGACTTTTCAAAAATGCTTTTTTAGTTTATGCTAAACTGCTGTTCTTAAGCAGATATGACAACAGAATGTGTCGCATCACAGAAATCCAATATTAGTTAAAAGTTATATATTTTTAATTTGAAATGTGTTTTAACATATTTAAATGTTTTAAAACATTTCCAACAGCACTGTTTATGATGTTTTTAGCCCTAGTATGAACCACAAACCTGGTGCTGGATGTGAAATTGATCTGTTCACGCTACCGCAGGTATCACAAAACATTTTCATCGGTTGTGATTTATCCAGCCAATCTCACTATGATGTTTATCATATCAGATGACTGGCCTTGACATATCCTCTCTGTGTGAGAATTTCCGCAGACAATCTATCAATTCTTCACTCACGAGTCCGCATCTCACTATGTCTATTGATAGCCGCAAAGGAATTGTTTTTGGTGTCACTACAGTCAGATTTATTTTTATTTTACGGGATATTTGCTGCCATTGTTTTTAAATTAGCAGTTATTTACATCACAAACAATGCAGCACTTCTGGTGAAGGGAGGATAAGCTATTATAATGCTGTGAAACAAAGGAAGATAATCAAGTTATTCATCCCAGAATTATTGTGAAAATAGCAGAGACTGAAACAAATTAGCACAGAAAGTTTGGAATTAGAACAATTTTAACCTGAAGAATTGTAATGCAATTGACAGGCATAAGATAGACTGGATGAATCCTACATTAAACACTGGGTGTTGGTAGCCATTACAACATCAACAAACCATTACAGCAATAACAACAAATTGCATTTATATAACTCCTTTCATGTTAGGAGGACATCCTGAAGCGCTGCACCGGCAAGGTTTGCACTCGAGTTGGAGATTGGATTTGAGGGGGTGGAGGGCAAGTGGGGTGTGGGGAGGGCCGGGGGGATGATGACCAACGAGGAAGGTCTTGAACCAGGCCTTGAAGAAAGCAAGGAAGGGGGCAATGGGGAGGGATTCTGGGATGGAGTTCCAGAAGTTGGGGGGACAGAAAGGCATAAGGCCCGACCTCTGATAGTGGGGCGGGCAGGACGGGGGATATGGAGCAGGCCAGTGCTCACTAAGTGGAGGGAGCTGGCAGATTGGTATAGTTTCAGTAGGTTAAAGAGTAGGGAGGAGCAAGATAGTGAAGGGTTCTGAAAGAGAGGATGAGGATCTTGAACTTGATCCTCTGGGGGATGGGGAGCCAATGAAGGCTGACGAGGATTGGGATCATCAGCTCCTGGAGCTTGGTGCGGGAAAGGAAATGAGCTGCAGAATTCTGAATAATCTGCGGAGGGAAGAGTTGGGAAGTCTTGCGAGTAGGGAGTTAGCATAGCCAAGCCTGGACATGATGAAAGCATAGATGAGGGCCTCGGTGGCTTGAGGAGAGAGACTGTGGCAGAGGCAGGCAATGTTGTGGTGGTGGGGAAAGCAGAACGTCAAGGTAAGGATGTGGGTTTAAAGGACAGTTGAGGGTCGTACAAGATACCAAGGCCATTTACTGAGAGAGATGAAATGATAATAATAATCCTTGCATTTGATATAGTGCCTTATCATGTCTTCAAGGCATCTCACAGAGCTTCTTCACAGAATATACTGTAAAGTGAACTGACTGTATATTTTTTGGGAGAAATGCAGCAGCCAATTGCACACAGCAGTGTCCCACAAACAGTCGTGGATTGAGTGACCAATTTATTATTTTTTTTGAAGGAATTATTACCCCCAAGAAAGCGATCTGCCAATCAACTTAACAGCTGGGTTCCTACTTACTGCTAGGTAAACAGAGGCATGTGGAGTAAGGAAACTTGCCCAGTGTTTCGCCCTGCCGAGAATCGAACCCAGGTATCTCGCTTGCAAGGCGAGTGCTTTAACCACTGAACTACAGGACTCCATGATGATGGAGTGATGGTCTGCCTCTGCATTTTATTGTTAACTAAGATTGGACAGGTTACAGCCTTTTCTCCAATGATTGAGAAGGCATCTGATAGAGATGTTTAATACAATAAAGGGATTTGATAAAAGGAACATAAATAGATTGTTTCTACTTTTTGGTGAGTAACAAGGGGGAATGAATATAAAATAGCAGGTAGCAGATCTAAAAGATAATTTAGGAGGAACTTCTTTACACAGAGTGACGATGTGGAACTTACTGCTAGAAGCCAGGTTGAAGCAAAAGGTATCAAAGCATTTAAAAGAAAAATAGATGCAAAATAATAATCCTTGCATTTGATAAAGCATCTTATCACATCTTCGAGACTTCTCAAAATGTACATGAGGGAGAAGCGAATAGGGGGGTATAGGAGAGGGGATTAGCAAGGGTGGAAGCTCAGATTATTTTGGGTCAAATGACCTGTTTCCAGGCAGTATCATTCTTTGTAATTTTAATGACAGCAGTTAAAATGGCTAAACTATGCATGAAACTTTTTGTTTCACACCGGTCCCTTTTTTNGGTCAGCCAGGTGTCTTAAACACATGTGCAAACCCATCACTATGCTTAAGAGTATCCAAACCAAACTGAGAATTCTGTGCTTTACACATGGAAATTCCAGAGATATCTGTTAGAATGGAATGCACACTATCTCCCTGGAGCGACTCATTCAAGGGGAATCATCAACTAGTTAGTCATTTGACATCCGACAAGCGTGCGTCTGAGTTCTCACGAAGTGGATAGTAGGTACCAGGAACTCTCTGCGAGCTTCCAGGTGAGCAACACAGCTCAGCATGAAATACGTGAGAGCATTGCCACCATCTTCCTGTCCACAGCTCGGACACACATCCCATCCCATTGAGCGTTGGTTCCACCAGTTGGAATCCACTTCCTTAAGTAGATTCTTAGCTTTGTAAGACATAATTAACTAGCTGCATATTACATGCTGTTATAATTTTAGGATGACTATTTTCAGTATCATGGTTGGGTCATTCAATGGTGCATAATTACACATAGCTTTATTAATAATACTAAAACAGCTGTGATTAAAATTAAAAGGATCTTTACTTAACATAGGAAATTCAGAAGTATGATTGAAACCCGACAACTGTTTTTTCTGCTTCAAGTAAAATCTGATTTCATTTTAGACATTTAAACTGGGTGTCATAAGAACTGTTTCATTACTAGAGACA